GGCCCCTCCTGCTTCCCCTTTCTCTCTGTTGTATAAAGCTGATTTCTTTGGCGCTGTCCTGACAAGAGCTTCCAGAGCTTGTAATCGATGCCTCCCCCTCCTTTTTACAAGTTTGGTTTTTTTTTTTTTTCTTAAATAAATTAGTTCTGACTTCCATTTCTCAGTGCTCTGATGCCTCTGGTTTTTGGCAGTAGGCTCCTCGGTGCTGACGGGGGAGAGGCCGTTTACAGCAGGACACCCGACGGGACAGCAGCGCAGGAGGGTTCAGGGCATGGGAGAGCGATGGTTCCCTTTAGCTTTCTGCTGCATTCAATTTGGGAAGAGGAGGGAGAGCCGCTAACAGGAAAACCGACCCCAGATACTCCGCATATGGGCTGCAGGTGGACGTGGGGAGCCTGCTCATCAGCTGTCGCCCAGGCATGGTTGTACTCAAGGACCCTTGTCGCTGCAGCCTGGAGGTTTAAGGGCTGTTGGTCCCACTTGTGTGGGAAGTTGCGTGGGGTCTCTGCGGGATCATACAATCTTTATCAGCTCTGTTGCCACTAGGTGACACTCTTGATCCAGCGTGTTTCATGGCATCCAGATGTTCATGGTCTCCAGGAGTGCCTCTGGAGTCGGAGGAAGGCGAACTTGGACGTGGACATGGACATCCCTTCGTGGGTGAGGAGGGGGCCCAAGCGCCTTGGCTGAAAACCAGGGGGCTATTTCCAAGGGTGTTTGGATCAAGCGTTCCCTAGGCAGGGCAGAGCATGCCCTTGCAAACCTCTGGTCCCACTGATGCCTGGCCTCCCAGCATGGTTGATGCTCGCTTCTCTGAGCCAAACCCCGGGGAAGGTCCCGCCTGCTCCTGGAGGGGCAGGAGGCTGTGCCATGCAAGCAGCCAGCTCTTGGTGCCCCTCTCTTTGAGTCCCAGGCTCCGGAGGCTCTGCGCAAGTTTGGAGAGCAGCTCTCCAGGTGGTGAAGCAGGAGAGGGTTTGTGTTAAGGCAGCAATTGCCACAACGAAGGAGATGGGCTGGAAAGGAAGAACCCTGGCAGGGGTGGAAGTGTCCTGTGTGTTAAGACAATGTTTTTAGGCTGTGAAGTGTCTTCCCAAGGAAGGGAGCTTTACCAGAGAGCCAGGGAAAGATGGAGAAACCCATGCTGTGACTGACCACTGTCATGTGGCCCTTTTA